ATGGGATCTAATTAAACTAAAGAGCTTCTGCACAGCAAAAGAGACTATCAACAGAGCAAACAGACAGCCTACAGAATGGGAGGCAATTTTTGCAAATTAGGCATCCAACAGAGACCTATAGATAATATCCAGTTATCTATAAGGAACATAAACAAATTTATAAGAAAAAAAATTAAACAACTGAATAAAAAAGTGGATAAAGGACATGAACAGACACTACATGCAGCCAACAGTCATATGAAATAAACTCAACATCACTGCTCATTAGAGAAATGCAAATCAAAACCACAATGAGCTACCATCTAACAGTAGTCAGGATGGCTATTACTAAAAAGTAAAAAAATAACTGATGCTGGCAAGGTTGTGGAGAAGAAGGAGCACTTATACACTGTTGATAAGAGCATAAATGAGTTCAGCCATTGTGGAAGACAGTGTATCAATTCCTCAAAGACCTAAAGATGGAACTACCATTTGACCCAATCAGGGCACCCTGACTCAATGACAGATGAATAAATGCACTCTCACATCTGGTTCAGTGATTTAAGTGGGTTAGGGATGGTCAACAGCTGCTTTCTGAGGGTGACTGCCACCAATTGACCAAGATCCCCTGTCATCCTCACATTTATTCAGTAAAGATTTCATAACAGAGGTTTTAAGCCAACACACTTGTGGATAATTAATATGATTAAAAGAGCGGTTTTACAAACAATAAAAACTTTAGGTTCCAGGGCCCAGAGTAAACACTATTGATGGGTAATTCCCCTTTGATCTCCCCCTGAGAGGACCATCCAGCACAAAGTTTACATGAGTAAACAGAGTAGCGACAAAGGGATGTGGGGTAAACAGAATTAAACTAGGAAAGCCTCTTATCATCACTATGTTTCCCTAACATAATGCACCAGCTGCCTTTAGCCTGTTCCAATAAAACCTTTCATCCCTCCAAAAGGTTTGAGACTATAATCTATAACTTTCTCTAATATTTCCCTAATATTTTGCCAACCACCCTGAGTGAATTCCAACATATGGTGGTACATGCCCATAGTCCCAACTACTCTGGAGGCTCAGGTGGGAGGATCACTTGAGTTTGAGATTGCAGTAAGCTATGATCACCACTGCACTACAGCCCCCATCACTGAAAATAAAAGATATACTTCTATTCAGTAATAGTCTAAAACTGAATGTATGAATTCTTAGGGGAGAATTAGAAAAATGACTATTCTTGAGTTCTCATTTTATTGGCATGAGAAAACGCTATGGAGGAATACAGCATCTTAGAGGATAAACATTACGTCTTCTCTTAATAGCAGATAAATACATTTTATTATGAGAATTAGGAGAGGGAAGATTATCATCAAAGACATTTAAAAGTAGAATAAAACTCCCAAAATGAACATAGGAAAAAAAATTAAAAAAATGAGGGAGGCCACTGAAGATCAACTTATCAATAGAGTGAAAATAAGGACAAAAACTTTAAGAAAAAAGTAAAATGTAAGGTGAAATGGAAAAAAGTGCATTAATTGTTAAAAGTTAACAGACTGATTTCTCTGTTTAAAAGATGATTATTAACTGAGTTTTTAAAAAAAATTCAGAAATATGCTATTTATAGGAAGCATGCTTGAAGACAATATAAAAAAGCAATGGGCGGCCGGGCGTGGTGGCTCACGCCTGTAATCCCAGCACTTTGGGAGGCCGAGGCGGGTGGATCATGAGGTCAAGAGATCGAGACCATCCTGGTCAACATGGTGAAACCCAGTCTCTACTAAAAATACAAAACATTAGCCTGGCATGGTGGCGCGTGCCTGTAGTCCCGGCTACTCGGGAGGCTGAGGCAGGAGAATTGCCTGAGCCCAGGAGGTGGAGGTTGTGGTGAGCCAAGATCACGCCATTGCACTCCAGCCTGGGTAACAAGAGCAAAACTCCGTCTCAAAAAAAAAAAAAAAAAAAAAAAAAAAGCAATGGGCAAAAATTAACTTGGCAAATATACATACACAAAAGAAACAGAAGTAGTTTTTATTTATCAGGAAAGTCAAAAGTACTTTAAAGATGCCTATCACGTTTTGATAAAATAACATGCTTTGTGAAAATGATTTAACAGTCATAAACCATACTGCATAGAAGCTAACTATATATAGGAAAACCCATTAGAAATGTAAGAAGAAACTGATTTAAAGCATAATTATAATGAGAAGTTTTAAACAGATTTTCAGGATTTGTATATGTCTGATACACCAAAAATAAATAAGGATGTAGAGGAAATATACACTAAAACTACTAATTTATAAGAGTAGAACTTTATAGACAGTATTACAATGAAATAACTTAATTTTCCTCCCATTTTTTGGCATTTAAATGAAGAGACCTTTTGATAAAACATACGTCAATACACAAGACTTTTCTGGTCACCAACAGATAATAAAAGTCCTCTAGTCACTTTTAATTTTAAAAATCCATAATTAAAAATCAAGTCCTAGTCAAGGCTGCAAAATTTGTTTAAAATTAATGTCTGCGGTAGAAAAGGTGGGTGTGTGATTAGCTGCTTTTATGTTTCTATGTCTTTTATTTGTTCAATTACTTTCAGTTCCTAGCCATACCTTCTGACCCTTCCCGGGGTATAGCAAGAGACTGAAGGAGAGAGAAGGGGCAGAAAATGTCTTTATTGCCTGGCACTGTCTGACCTAGCATTAAAGTCTCCAAGCTGGGCTGACGTTTAGAGCTGACACTGTCTCATGGGGAACACTGACAGATTTCTCAGTGATTCTCCACTGGGAAACGCACAACTGTAATTTCCTGGTTCTTTAGGCTTCTGTTTAAGGTTCTATTCTAGTCTCACCACACACATAAACAGGGGCATTGTCATTCACTCTTGTTTATTTCAACAACCACTTGTTTCTGATCATTTAAATATATATTTCCAGGGTAGATACTTTCTTGATAGCCAGACATGTATATCTGGTTATCCCTACTTGAATATTATTACGCAATTTAACAAGTACTATGTTCCTCCTCCCAATAATTTGCATCATTGTCCACTCTGTTGCCCAACCCAAACCCTGAAAACATAATTAGCTTTATCTTATTCCTTACATTCAGTCAATACCATATCCTGTTGATTCATCTCCTAGATGTATCTCATATCTATACATTGCTCAGAGTCCTCATTGTTACTACACTGATTCAGGCTATCATCACCCCTCCCCTAGATTATGAAAACAGCTTTCCTCCTGTTTTATCCGATTTCAATCTGTTCTTCACACTGCAGCCAGAGGGTCCATACAAAAATACAAATTACATCATGTCATTTCTCTGCTTAAAACCTCCCAATAATTCCTATGGTCTTAAGAATAATGTTCCAAGTCCTGACACAGCTTACAAGGCTCTTTATTCCATTTCTTAGCTTCACCTCTTGCCAATCCCTTTTCACGGACTATATTCCCACCTCACTGAATTCATTCAGATCTTCTTCAGGTATGCTTTGTTCTCTTTTGACCTGTCACTTGCTGTCTGCATTTCCTGATGACATCTGCTTGACGCCTACCCCAAACTTCATTTTCCTTCACCACCTTAGTAACAAATCCTGAATTTGTTTGGGGTACCATGCTCCCAGTTAAAAGTCTACCATTCTCAGTCAGTCTTGCAGCTAGGTGAGGGCACATAACTAAGTCCTAGGAAATATAATAAAAGCAAAAGTGTGGGAGTACTTCTGGGAAATATCCTTAAAAGTAGAATTGAGAGATTTTCTTTGCTGCCTTCTTTCACCCTGCTGCCTGGAATGAGGACGTGATAACCAGACAGATGGTTGCTGTCCTGAGTAATGTGCATGAGTATCATGCTCTAGGGAAGGCAGAGTGGTAAGCTAGAAGCCTCCTATGTCCCTAATGGCTTTATGAAGACATCATACCAGGACTATGTTATCTCTTTCTCCACTAATTTTACCTGAGAGATAAATTAGTCTCGAACTTGTCTAAGCCACTGTTATGTTTTGTTTTCTGTTGTATGCAACTAATCTAAGTTAAAGCAACATACTCCTGCAATATTCTGACCTTTCTTTCCAGTGTTTCCACACCATCTCCCATTAGCTAGGCAACTCCAACTCCTTTCCTTTAGATGTAAGACTTCCTAGCAAATTGTTTGTGATCATTCACCTGGGTTATGTTAGGTATTTCAGCAGCATTTTCTTCTAGATTAGATGCTACTGAATCTATCCCTCTCACCGTTATATTCCAGGGCCTAATACAATGCCTGGCATACAATCAATGCTCAATAAATACTTGTGGTCTGATTTAATAAATGAACAAATAGTAGCTATTATTATAAATTAATATCCTTAAACAGGTCTGAGGTACAACTGAGGGTGCTTGTATGGACAATGGCTGGTCTATTAGGATCTAGGCTGTCCTAGAAACTTCAATGGGTGATAGGTAGGAATAATTAATGAAGGGGCAAATAATTAATGAATAACCCTACTGCCGGTTATTTTGGGTGCTCTCAGAACTTCATACTTTCTCAGCTTGGGAATCTCCATAGAGCCTCCAAACCACTGTGGTCCCAGAGGAGATCTGCCTACTCAGAATACTTCCTTAAAGAGGTCAGCCCTAATATACAGTGAATCTCTAATATTCATCTGTATTCAAATATTTATCTTAGATACTCCATAGCTTGATGAAGCTTACATTCTAATGGAATAATAACAAACAAATAAATAACATAATGTCAGGTAGTAACAAAGATAAAACAGGAAAAGCAGCAGGAAAGTGATAGGGAATGCAATGGATGTGGTGATCAGAGAAGGTTTTTTTGAGGAAGTGATATTTTATCAAAGACATAAACAAATGGAATACACATTAAAATTTTCTAAGGACAATATTTATCATGTATATCTTAATTTTTTTCACATCCTGCATGTGACATCTGATACCATATGTTTTCTAAGCATATATTTTAAATTTAAAATTTACTAATCTGAAACATTCTTACACAATAAGAATTTTCAAAATACTTACTTCCAAGAAGTTTTTGCTCTTCTTTTCAATTACAGATTGCATGAGGGTGTGGCTCATATGTATGATGTTGTCAACATACGGTAAACATTCTGATTGATAATCAAGAGTTACAACATTAAAAATACCAATCCGCTTCTCAATGGCCATATTCACAATATGTCTAAAATAGTTTCTGAATCTATTTAGGATAGCTTTAAATTCTTTTGAAGTTAATTCTCCCATAGGTGACATTTTCATACTCATGATTTTTGCCTTCTCTACCATGGTACAATACTTTATAAACTTGCAGCTGTAAGCATTAACTAGGCCCATTGAATTACCAATAATAGTCAGGAGATTCACAATCTGTAAAGAAGAATGTTAAGATGTTAGAATTTTTATTTTAAGAGCGAAAAATGTATGGTTTGACACGCTAATAGTTTCTAAGAAAATAAAATAATAGTGCTATGTGGAGTTCATTTTAAGAACCTCTATTAAAAATCTAAACATGTTGGAAACATAAAACTTTAAATTTAGATGGCTTTCTAATATTTGGCTTTTACATAAAGGCTTATTAGGCTATTTCACTTTATAATTAACATGTTATTTTGAGCCATGGACTAAAGACACCAATCATTTATCCCCTTGCTTGTTACCCTATTTTAGAGTATACTATGCTTAGCCCTAGAAAATGCCAGTCCCCAACCCCCAGGCTGCAGAGTGGTACCAGTCCATGGCCTGTTAGGAACTGGGCCACACAGTAGGAGGTGAGTGGTGGGTGAGTGAGCATTACTGCCTGAGCTCTACCTCCTGCCAAATCAGCAGTGGCATTAGATTCTCATAGGAGCTTGAACCCTATTGTGAACTGCACATGTGAGGGATCTAGGTTGTGTATTCCTTATGACAATCTAATGCCTGATGATCTGAGGTGAAGAGTTTCATCTTGAAATCACCCCTCCATCCCCATCCATGGAAAAATTGTCTTCCAGAAAACCAGCCCCTGGTGCCAAAAAGGTATGTGACCTCACCCAATTCACCAAAGATGTAACTATTTAGATAGGGTAGAATCCTAATCCAAGCTAAGCCAACTAGGTTCTCTTGTAAATTTGGACAAAAATACCCAGTTAGATGCTAATGGGAAGAGTTGGGGCATGGCAAGTCAATATATTGGCAAGCCTATATTATGAAGGAGTCATAAAAGAGAAAGATTCTTTTCACAGAAGTTGGAAAAATCACACAGACGTGAGCAGAGATGACAGATCATGGGGAAATACAATGGTGATTATTTCAATCACTATGAATAGGATGCTCTAATTTTTCAATAAATTCATTTCATCTAAGAACTCAGTGGCTTTCTGCTCCTTAAAGCAAACATTCCCTAAAATGAACTGTTTAAAAACTTACTATATTTTGGTAGGCAGGATCCATTTCAAAAAGGATGTGACAATCTGGCCATTTGTTCTGCTCTGTATATTGTATTATGCTTCCTGTCTTATTAGGTAAATCCACAATTGAAACCAAATCAATGAAGATAGACAGGTGGGGATCTTGGCAAAAAGGCGTAATTGTGGCTAAAATATATGTAATTTAAAAGTCAATACTTCAGAAGTCCCATTGAAAGCAACACTTCAAAATGATCTATGACATACAGAACTATTGAAAACTGGGGCTGATTTATTATGAGGGTTAGATAGTATTCTATACTTATAACTGGAATTTAAAAATAGGTATAAAGATGTAGATTTAATATTATAGAAACAAAAGAGCTACTCACAGGCAACTGAGTAGAGGTGATGGGAGGCATGATTTGAAATAGAAACTGAAAATAAGTCATTCAGTTAATAAATATTTGACATGTATCTTTTATGTGGAGAGTATTATGCCATTACAAGGATACAGAAATCAGGAAACAGAGCCTTAAGAGTTCACAGTCTAGCTGAACAACCAGATGTCCACAGGCATGCATGCATAGATAGATAGATAGATAGATACATATACATACATACATACATACATACATACATACATAGACAGACAGACCGACAAATCTCAACATATACTTCACACCTTATAAAAATTTCAACTCAACTATGGTGACATGACTGGAGAATGATACAACATTCAAGAAGTTGCCAAAAGTCCTGCTGTTTTAAGATCTTTGTAAAATTTATTGTAAGAAAATAATAAATTCTTTGGTCAGGCTAGTAATTGCCTTCTATTTCTGACTGTGTATACACAGCTGCAAAACAAAATCTCTTTAAGATAGAAACAATACCTTTGTTACACTATGACATAAAAGATCTTGCTCATTTGTACTAAGTATCGTAGCATTCTACAGAACATAACAGAAAAAATCCAAACCTTGAGATATTTTCCTAATTCCCATCTTTTATGCATTCTAAGGCTATGTGTAAAATTCATACATCCTCAAATAATTCCAAATTCACAGTGTTTGATCCCAAGGATTGTGAATTTGTGATATACCAATATTCTGTAATATCTGCCACATCCCTGGGTAAAAGCATCAGATGTCTAAATTTAAGAAAATATTGCCACAGAAGACAATGCATTTCACTAAGCTTTAAAAACACTTACTTATACATTTTTCCATATTAGTCAACATATTTTGAATTTTTACTGAAAATTCCAATCTGTTGGGAACTATAAAGAGATTTGTAGGAAATTCTGGAAATCTAACAGAGAAAACAATAAAAGCATATTTCAGCAGAATATAACTAACATAAAAAATACAATTACTTGTAATTTTTAAAATGTCTAATACTTACTCATAATATATGGATTTATTCTCAAACTCAGTCTCAATTTCTGTATCTATTAGAATCCAATGAAAGAGAGAATACAAAATTGATTGATATTTATATCAGCTAAATGACAAATTAATATATTCCAGTGCTTTATACATATCCTAAGAATAAACTCAAGAGGTCATTTGAAAGGCAATACTGAAGCAGTATACCCCATCCCAAGGTTCTGATTAAGAGATCTAAGAACAAACATCCTAGATGTTCCTCTTGATGAAGGGGGCCCCTCACCTCTGCCTCAGTGAGAAGCTGTTTGGGTTTTGAGATGAAAATGAACAATGGTGTCATTACTTATAGGCAATACAATGATCTGTAAAATTTATCCTTACTTTTAGCAGTATTTACCTTAAGATTTATAAAATCATAATCTATAAATTATAATACACAGCCTATTAACATGATCTCTCATTTGTTATTTTCTAGTTGTTAAGATATTTCTCTTCATTCTTTTTTTTTTTTTTTTTTTAAGAGACAAGGTCTCACTAGTCCCACCTCGGCCTCCCAGATTGCCGGCCGGGATTGCAGGCATAAGCCACTGCACCTAGCTACTCTTCATTCCTTATACTCTCAGTTGTCTTACCTGAAAGAATATCTTCAGGATTGTAACTAATTTCTTTTGATTTCTTGGCTTGTGGGAGCAATTCTCTACTTGAGTGTTTTTTGACACAATTTTCTTTATGTTCTGACATTTCATCTTCAAACATCACACACTTTTCAGGGCACTGGTCAGACTCATTAAAGTTCTCTTTAGAATTTTCTGAAGAATCACTCTCAGCAGGAATTCTCAAGTGTAGATTTACTTCAAATATTGGTGCATATGTTTTCCTCAAATCCTTCTCCACTTCAGCACTATTCAAAATCTAATTTAACAGATATGTGAGGGTTCCACTGACAACATATAACTTATAGAACATTTAATTTAGGATAATACAGACCAAAATTTTAAATGATAAATCATAACTCCAGGATAATCAAGTAACACTGTATTATCAAATACCTGATACTTGCATGTTAAAATAAGTAAATTAAATGTGAAACAAATGACATTATAATGAAGGAGTTCCCCCCAAAAGACTAAATTTGTGCCAGAGTCACTACATCACTAGTCCTAGTCATTTGAGAGCTTATTTAAAGTACAAAGGCTTAGGTCTGTCCCCAGAGATTTTGAGTTAAAGAGAGGCGGGGCCCAGGACTTTTAATCACCTAAAAGCTGAACATGGGAATCTGTTGTATACCCTGGTTTAAGAACTACAAATCAAGAATACACACTTCACATCCACTACAGTAAGTCCATCCTACTACAGTAAGTCTGTCACGTTAATATACATATACTAATATGGACATCTCCAATGAAAAACACCAGGGTATAAATATCTCATTTATGTAACATAATTGTTCTTAGGCTCTGTCTATGTTTGGGTTCTCGATTAATCTATTGATCCTTCCTACTTCATAAATAATCAGTTATGCTTGAGGTAGCTATTGCATAATTACTCCTCTGTGTTTCTGAGGGTGATCACCTGAATAATCTGCTGGAATCTTAACCTCTAATTCCAGTCATTAGTAAATTAAGGCAGTTAACATTATCAATAAACCTCATTAGCATCTTATTAAGCTGCTGGGGAAAGAGCATGAGTAGATAATGAAGGTGATTTGCAAATCTTAAATGTTCACACAAATGGATATAGTTTGTTTGGGATGATGAAAAAGTTGCAGAAATGGAAAGTGGTGATGATTGCCTAACACTGAAGGTAGCTAATGTCACCAAATTGTACACCTAAAAATGGTTAAATGGTAAATTTTATGTTATGTATGTTTTATCACAATAAAAGAAAGTCCACCCAGACAATTCTTAATAAATACATAATGTGCTGCTTAGCTTATTCTGGAAAATAACCTATAATTAACTCTGGGAATACTGGCCATCAAGCTGTATATATATTATTATTGCATATAAATATTTTGCATCAAATCATTCTTTAAATGTAATTATAGTTACAGTGAATGAACTGTATATTTATCACTATAGTAAACAAGTTACCTTCATCTAATCCTCATAAAAACCCTGAGAGAGAGAAATTATTACTCTAATTATACATACAAAAAAACCCTGAAAGCTTAATTTGTCAGAGGCTATATTGCTAGCATGTGGTAAGGCTGAAGTTCACTCATAGGTCTGGGCACATCATTATAATATGAACTGAGACCTGAAAATATTTTTGTAGTGAAGAAATCTCTTAGCTCTTATGCTTTTTGTGCCAACAAGAACGAACCAGTAAATAGTTTGATTTCGTCTAAACTGTAAACAACAAGAGAAGAATAGCCACAGCTAAATGAAACTAAAAATTGTACAGATTACAATGGGGATTTAGGAGGGGAAGGAGTAGGCAGCATCAATGATTACCATATCTGCAACTTTAGCTCTTATCTCTCGCTTGAGATTCAGATCTACATTTTCAACATCCCAATAGAAATTTTCACCTGGTTTTCCACAGGTACCTCTCACTCAACATATCCCAAAATAAACTAATTATCTCTCTTATCTTAACTGTATATTAGAATGTGCCCAAAAAAAGCAGTTTACAACATTTTGACCTCTAGGAGAAAAAAGGAGCAAATCAAGGTCAGATAGTAGAGGGCAAAGTAGCGGCAAGATGCCCAAGCTTGGGCTATGGGAAAAAAGTGGACATAAATTTAGGCTACCTTAGTGGCAGTCTGCTCATTCATGCAGCCTGTGTCCCAATCTCCACTCTATCAGCCTGCATTGAGCACATATGTGTATATATACATGTATAAAACAGATGTGTGAATCTTATTGGTTCTGTCCCTCAGGAGAACCCTGACTAATACAAGTTACATGAAAAAATGCTCAACCAAGCTAGTAATAAGGGAAATTCAAATTAAAACTTCAGCAAAATGCCATTTCATGCCTATCTTATTGACATTAAACACTGATGAGGATTGGTTAAGCTTATGGAGCAATAAAAAATTATGAATTGCTAAAGGTCATTGAAATTGGTACAAGCATTTTAGAAAAACAATTTTATATTACTTAATACAGTTGAAAATAACATATGCTTTCACCCAGAAATTTCACTCCTTAGCATTAAGTTAAAAAAAAATAACTCTTGTTCATATACACCAAAGGAGAAATATACTGCAATGTGCATGGCAGAATTATATGTAATAGCAAAAACAAAAACTGGAAATAACCCAGACGTCCATCAACAACAGAATGGTAAGTAAATTGTTTTATCAGTAAAGGATGAATAGGAGACACTGAATGTTTTTAAGTTGGGTAAAGCCTATATGAGTGTTTGCTTATTTTTGCAGGTATCGTATACTTAATAAAAACATTATTAAAATAATACACATGCATTGTACAAAATTTAGACTATTTAGAAATATATATATGAAAGTAAAATTACTCAAGATTCCTACCACCCATAGATAACCACTATTAATATTTCAGTGCATATATTTTCAGAATTCAAACTACATAGTGTATATATACTTACGCTGGTTTACACTAATACATGTGAATATCTTTCTTTGTTACCAAATCTACCTAAATACTTTAGAAAGAAAAGATACATATACAGGCTATATTATACAAGGATATTTTTACCAAATTGGACAAGCACTTGATATATAAAGTTTAAATCTCAAGAAAATAATACCAATGAAGAGAAAAACAATTCTGTCAAGAAAAGATTTCTTAACAAAAGTTTCTCAAGGATTCTTTAAAAGTTTCCTATTTTACTTCTGCCATTTTTAAGTTAAGAACACAACAAAACTCCTTTAAACAAAAGCAAAGACAGAATAGTATAGTGGTGGGAGAAAGAGGGGTAGATGCTACTTTAGATAGGGTGATCTTCCCTTACCATTTCTATGTAAAATAGCATACAACATCACTCCTACATAACCTTTTTTTCCATCATTTTTCTTCACAGTACTCATCACTTCATTTACCTATCTCTCCTGGTAAAATATAAGCTCCATGAGGTCACAGAATTTGTTATGTCCACTGCTGTTATTTGAACTAGGTAGGTAGTGCCTACCTAGCTCAGTGCCTGAAACATAGTAAGTACTCAATAACCATGTGGTGAATGAATGAATGAACTAAATGAGCTAAATGTCATTATAGCTTTTTACAGTGGGAGCAGGTAAGTGAGTGTGGGGGTGGCAGGGGAGGGTATGTTGGTTGAGGGGTTGTGTGTATTAATCATAAATCCATTTTAAATTTCAAAATGTATTCATTTTATAGCAAAAAAACTTGTTTATATTTTTCAAAGATCTTTTTACCTCATTAATATCAGGGTTTGCTTTTACGTCTGACTTTTTAACAGAAATAGCATGTGACTTTACATTATCAGCAAGTTCTTCACAATCATTTGCTATCTTTCCAGCAGGAAAAGAGTTGACCTTGAATGTTCTGTATTAAGAAATGGGAAGAAAAAAATCATTTAAAATCATTTACATCTACATATATAAAGAACACCAACAACTCAACAACGAAAAGCAACCCAATTAAAAAACAGGCAAAGGATTTGACTAGGCCTTTCTCCAAAGAAGATATCAGGATGGACAATAAGCACAAGAAAAAAATGCTTATTATCACTAATCATTAAAGAAATGCAATCCAAAACACAATGAAATACTGTATTACCTTACACCCATTACAATGGCTATTATCATTTTTTTAAAAAAATAGAAAATAATAATAAATGTTGGCTAGGTTGGAAGCACAAGAAGATTATAGAACACCAAACAAATTTAACCTAAAGAAGACTACCCCAAGGCATTTAATAATCAAACTCCCAAAGATCAAGACAGAGTGATACACACACACAGACAGACAGACAGACAGACAGTACAAAAGAAAAAACCCTTCTACCCTAGAATGGTACATCTGGCAAAAATATCCTTCAAACGCAAAGGAAAAATAAAAACCTTCCCAGACCAACAAAACCTCAGGGTTTTGCCAGATGCTTATCATCAATGCCAGATCTATCCTACAAGAAATGCTAAAGGAATTGCTTCAATCTGAAATAAAAGAATACTAATGAGCAATAAGAAATCATCTGAAGTCACAAAACTCACCGGTACATATAAAAACACAGAATATTATAACACTAATTGTGGTGTGTAAACTACTCATATTTTAAGTAGAAAGATGAAAAGAAGAACAAATCAAAAATCACTACAATAATTTTTCAAGACACTGACTATACACGATATTAAAAGGAACAATAAAAGTTAAGAAGCAGGGAGATGAAGTTAAAGTATAGAGATTTCATAACTCTCCTTTTCTTGTTTGTATGTTTGTTTATGCAATCGATGTTAAGTTGTCATCAGGTTAAAATAATGGTTTATATTATTTGCAAGACTCATGGTAACCTAAAATCTATAAACATACAACAGAAACACAAAAAATAAGAAAAAAGAAATGAAAACATACCACCCAAGAAAATCACCTTCACTAAAAGGAAGACAGGAAGGAAGAAAAGAAGGAAAGGGCCACTTCTTTTGGCCACAAAAGAGCCAAAAAAAAAAATAAATAAAATGGCAGGAGTAAGTCCTTACTTAATTAAGACTGAATGCAAATGGACTAAATTCTCTAATCAAAAGATATACAGTGGCAAAATGAATGAAAAACCAAGAATCAACCTTCTGTTGCCTACAAGAAACACACTTTACCTCAACAAACATAGACTGAAAATAAAGCTACAAAAAAAGATATTCCACACAAATGGAAACCATAAAAGAGGAGTAGTTATACATACTTCAGACAACATAGATTACATAACACAAAGTATAAAAAGAGACAAAGAGGGTTATTGTCAATTCAGCAAGAGGATAGAACATTTCTAAAATACATGTACCCATCACTGGAGCATACAGATATAAAAAGCAAAAGCAAGTATTACTGACAGAGCAGGAGCACCCTTACCTCAAACACCACCACTTAAGTTCCAGCTCCCTTTCCAGCTTCATAAATTTCAAGGAAATCACTTCTAACTATAATCAGCCAGAAAGAACAAACAGTAAAAGATAAGACAGCTGGGCTACAGAGGGAGATGCGTGGAAAGTCTCTTGGGTAACTGCCAAACTTCACCCTTATACAATGGGCCCCAGTAAAACAGTAAGCCTTAATAAGCCCATTCCTTTCCCTTCAGGTGCACTAAGATAGGGAAGCTAAAAGCAAACTCGAGAGTACAACTGCAGCTGCAGAAAGATGTATGGGAACATACACACAACTCTTCCTCCTAGATAAGCACAACAAAAAGACACAGAAACAGTCCAAGCCTCTAATAAAGTCTCCTACCCTGAATTGTTAAAAACTCAGTCTGGGCCGGGCGTGGTGGCTCATGTCTGTAATCCCAGCACTTTGGGAGGCTGAGACGGGTGGACCACGAAGTCAGGAGTTCAAGACCAGTCTGGCCAACACAGTGAAATCCTCTCTCTACTAAAAATACAAAAAATTGGCTGGGTGTGGTGGTATGCACCTGTAATCTCAGCTACTCGGGAGGCTGAGGCAGGAGAATCAAGTGAATCCGGGAGGCAGACAATGCAGTGAGCTGAGATTATGCCATTGCACTCCAGCCCAGGCAACAGTGTCAGACTCCATCTTAAAAAAACAAACAAAAAACAAATACTCGTAGTCTGTAAGAGAGTAGGCCTCTGATCTAACTCAGCCAGAAGGCTCCTCTCAGGTTTGTTTTCTCTAAAATAAACCTGTCTAGACTGGCAAGTCACCTTTCTTATCTCTTCCTCTTTCTTTAATTCTTACAATTATTATCTCTTAAGAGAGAGATAAATCCCAATTACAATAATAGCTGGAGACTTCAATACCACATTTTCAGCCTTGGACAGATCATCCAGACAGAAAATCAACAAAGAAACATCAGACTTAATATGCAGGAAAAACAAAACGGACCTAACAGATACTTACAGAACATTTCATCCAATGGCTACAAAACACACATTCTTCTCCTTAGCACACGGATAATTCTCAAGGATAGAACATACATCAGGTCACAAAACAAGTCTTAAAAACATTCAGTAACATCAAATAATACCAAGAATCTTCTCTGACCACAAAACAAAAACAAACAAACAAAAAAACCCTACAAATCAATCACAGAGGGAATTCTGGGAACTATACAAACACATGAAATTTAATCAATATGCCCCTACATGACCATGCTCCTACAGTGGCTCAGTGAAGAGATTAAGAAGGAAATGGAAGCATTTATTGAAACAAAGGATAATGAAAACATAACATATCCAAATCTATGGGATACTGCAAATGCATAACTAAAAGGGAAGTGTATAGATGTTAAGTTTCTACCACAAAGAAAAAAAATCCTTCAAATAAACAACCTAATGATACATCTTAAAGAATAAGAAAAGCAAGAGCAAAAGAAATCCAAAGTTAGTAGAAGAAACGATAAAGATCAGAGCAATAAAACTACAGAAAAGATCAATGAAACAAAAAGTTGGTTTTTGAAAAGATAAAGAAAACTGACAAACTTGAGCCAGACTAACTAAAAGAACAAAAACAGCAAAGACCCAAATAAATAAAATCAGAGATTAAAAAGGAGACATTACAATTGATACTGCAGAAATTCAAAGGATCACAGAGGCTGCTATCAGCAACTATATGCAATAAATTGGAAATCCTAGAAAAAAGGGATCAATTGCTAGACACATACAACCTACCCGCCACTTAGCTAGCAGAAGATAAGAAAAAAACAAAATCAGAGCCAAAATGAAGGAAATTGAGACACACATACACAAAAATTTTTTTTAAAAGATCAAAGAATCCAGGAGCTGTTGTTTTTGAAAAAATTAATAAAATGGGCCACTAGCTACACTAATTAAGAATAAAAGAAGATCCAAATAAACATCACTAGAAACAATGAAGGGCATGTTACTATTGACCCCACAGAAATAAAAACAACCATGAGAAACTACTACAAACACCTCTGCACACAAACTGGAAAACTTAGAAGAGATGGATAAATTCTTGGACACATAAGCCCTCATAAGACTGTGCTAGGAAGAAATTGATTCCCTGAACAGACCAATAAAGAGCTCTCAAATTGAATCAGTAATAATAGCCTACCAAGCAAAAAAGCCCAGGACCTAAAGGAATTGCAGCCAAATTCCAGCAGATGGACAAAGAGGAGCTGGTACCATTCCTACAGAAACTATGACAAAAAAAATTGAGGAGGAAGAACTTCTTTCTCCAAATCATTCTATGAGGCCAGTGTCATCTTGATACCAAAACCTGGCAGGCAGACGTGCACGCATGCATGCGCGCGTGTGCGCGCGCACACACACACACACACACTGTAAAAACTAAACCTTCAAGCCAATATCCTTAATGAATATTGATGCAAAAATCCTCAACAAAATACCTGCAAACTGAATCCAGCAGATCATCAAAAACTAATACAATATGATCAAGTAGGCTTCATCCCCAGGATCCAAGGTTGGTTCAACATACACAAATTAATAAATGTGATTCATCACATAAACAGAACTAAAGACAAAAACCACATGATTATCTCAATAGATGCAAAAAAGGCTTTCAATAAAATTCATTATCCTTCATGTTAAAAACTCTTAGTAAGCTAGATATTGAAGGAACATACCTCAAAATAATAAGAGCTATCCATGACAAACTCAGAGCCAACATTATACTCAAGGGGCAAAAGCTAGACGCATTCCCCATGAAACCAGCAAAAGACAAGGATGTCCTCTCTCACCACTATTATTCAACATGGTATTGGAAGTCCTAAGCAGAGCAATCAGGCAAGAGAAAGAAAAAAAGTGCATCCAAATAGGAAGAGGGAAGTCAAACTATCACCGTTTGCAGACAACATGATTCTATGTCTATAGCTTCAGCCCCAAAGCTGCTCCTTCAGCTGATAAACAACTTCAGCAAAGTTGCAGGATACAAAATCAATGTATGAGAATCACTAGCATTCCTATATACCAACAACATTCAAGCCAAGGGCCAAATCATGAATGAACTCCTGTTCAGTTGCCACAAAAAAAAAAAATACCTAGAAATACAGCTAACCAGGGAAGAAAAGATCTCTACAATGAGAGAATTACGAGACACTGCTCAAAAAATCAGAGAGGATACAAAGAAATGAAAAAATATCCCATGCTTATGGATAAAAGAATAAATATCCTTAAAATGGCTATACTGCCCAAAGCAATTTACAGATTCAATGCTATTCCTATCAAACTACCAATGGCATTCTTCACAGAATTAAAAAAATATTATTTAAAAATTTATATGGATCCCAAAAAGAGCCTGAATAGCCCAGGCAATCCTAAAGAAGAACTAACCTGGAGGAATCACATTACCCAACTTCAAACTATACTACAAGGCTACAGTGACCAAAAAAGAATGGT